CATCTAAAGATCTCATCTATTGTGGCAGACTACCCACTGCAGTTCCTTTCATATATTCACTATTGTTATACACTGGACTTTATTTTGCTTTTTTGTTTATTGCGTGGACTTTATTTACTTTTTATATTTTCATTATGTATACATATGTTTGTATGCTCACCAGACAGTCTGGATAGATTATTTTTTGCAAGGTTGTCTGTGCACTAATTTTATAGCTTGGCACATTATTGTTGTAAGTATTTTACATATATTTTTGATCTTTGTGCCTTGATTGGATCAATTTATGGTGGAGGGGTCATGACACGTAGGTGGTGCCACTTAGAGTGGATCATTTTTTTGTCAGATCACCCATTGGGGTACACTGTCCAACATTTTGTGCTGTTGTTAAAAAATGATGGGTAAGTCAAGTCAGGTGCAAAGATTTAAGCTTTGGATTTAATCAGGGCCCTTTCGTATATCAACATTAAGTTATGCTGTTAAAATATTTAAGAATGTAATTTAAAGTGAGACTGAGCTGGCATAGGATGTAGGAGCACTTGTCACAGTGTGTAAGTATGCATAATATACTTATAGCACTTAGTTGTGAGTTTGCTATAATGTGCAGAAGAGGGTCATCCGTGCACCGAATGTGGAATACAAAGATGCATGACAGGGGTAAGCTGTGCACTGTGTGTTTCTAGCTTTAAGTTTATCCACCCCCAGTGATGACAAGTTCATGTGTCTGGGATGCCGCTGCCATCTTCTCAGATTCTTTTTTCTTGACCCAGAATGATTCTTCAGCCAATGTAAGATGCTAAGAGTGTAGACTGCACTGTGCATGAGCAGCAGGCAGCGGTCATTTAAAAAAAGTTCTAGCAAAATAGGTAAAGAACTATTTTGGTTGGAATGACATACAAAGTCTTTTCTATCAAAAGCTCTACTTATTAGTTCAGTTCTGTTTTATCAATACTTAGCATAAACTGTTTTTTTTCAGAAAGATTTTTAGAGCAGTGGTCCCTAAACTTTAACCCTTGGGGCACTATTCCTCACTCTGACACCATTGATTGGGCACTATTCCACTCATTGACACCAATGATGGGGCACTATTCCTTCCATTGCCACCAATGATGGGGCACTATTTCTCACTCTGACACCAATAGTGAGGCGCCATTATTCATCCTCCCACTAACTACTAATCCTGAGGCATTTTATCCCCATGGACCACTGAGCGTAGGGCATTGTTTACTCCCACTCACTGCTGCTATTGAGGCATTTTCTACTCCCTTTGGACACAGTTTGACCCCCAAGTTTCTTGGGGGGATAGTGAATTTTCCCTTTGTTTAGAAAGTCCGAGGACCCTGTTTTAAAGGCTCAGAAAGAAGATAACAATATGGAATAAAGGTTATTAGGAAAAAAAGAAATGCTTCTTATTATAAGCAGAAAATACCGCAAACAGCTGGAAGACAGAGCACAGTAGATAGGACTAGATGTCAGGACTTCAGCTTGTACTACAATATCATGTCAAAAAATAATACAAAGTCAGCACTCTGAACCAATTAGAGCAATATGGCTTTGCAGAAGCCACAAGATTTTGCTATAGGCCTTATTTCAAATCATTGCATTGTACTTATTGCAAATCGACATTCTGGAATGTTTTTTAATAAATGAAAATATCAAGTTCACATTACTTTCTTATAATTTACTGTGTTTTTTGTTTCTCTTGTATGGACTTTATTGAATCTAAATGCTTATGCAAAGATAGTTATGTGTAGGGCTGCAGCTAACGATTATTTTCATAATCGATTAGTTGGCCGATTATTAAGTTCGATTAATCGGTTAATCGGATAAAAAAAAACTGTTGCAGCTCTAGTTATGTGAATTAATTTACTGTAACTAGATATAGAAGTACGACTGGACTAATTGGTTCTAATTATTGGTTAGCAATTCTTTGCAACAGATGTCCAATTCACCAAGACTATGGTACCTTTTTATGTAAGCAGTGAGGAAAAATACCAATTGAATTCCCTGGCAAAGGGGATTATGAGGTGTATTTGCCGTTTCCCCTTGTGATATCATTGCCCTAACAAAGATGAGCAGCCTTTGTTAATCAGGCAGCCAGTTTGGAATATAATAAATCCCTGTTAGATTTATGATGTTATAAGCTGCATCCCAAAAGCATAGACTCTTGGCCCTGGGCCAGATGATATAAGCAAGGTCCCCCTTTGGTTCTCCTCACTGATAATCGAAGAGACGGGTAGAAAGCCTGGGGATTGAGTACATGCTCACTAAGTCAAATGGCAAAGGACCCATGTAACCAGACAGGTTGCAATTATTGCCAAATCCTCCTTGGTCACCCTCTGAAGGGGTCCTTTAAAAACTATTTTATTGTTCTAAATCTAACAAACTTATGTTACAGTTTAGAGGAAATGCACTGTTCACTAGTATTATTTACTAAAAAAGTAAAAGCCATTTACTTAGCAAAGTGACCGCTCACTCTGCAAAGTGTATCCTGGTAAATAAGGTAAACCTGTGTTGACATTGAAAGCCCAATCATGTACTAGGGAGATTAAAAACAACATTTTTGTTAGCACATTATTTGATATTTAAAGTAAATACAGGATCACCTTCTTTCCCAACATTCATTTTGAAGACATACACTTTCCAAAATAAACATTCACTTCTCTATGTGAACAGAATCTACTCCTGTAGTAAATCAACTCCTGTGTCTAGTAGCGGAGACCTATATATAAATACTGTAAGAAGAATGTGACTTACATAATATACTGTATATAAGCCTGGTGGGAGTTGTCACTGACCATTTATTTTATGTTCTTTAAATAAATGTTGCTCATGCAGTTTTGGGCAGCATTCATTTGCATATATTAGTAAGAAATGTGCATGTTTTCACAGTTATTAAACCGCATACAGCCAGCAGGAGCTACTAGAAGTGGTTAATGCAATCTTCTTACAGTCCATATTATCATGATCAACAAAGTGCTTACTAGAAACTCATTGGTAGGGTTTAATTTTTAATTTCCAGAATAGAGAAATGCATTCAGTTTATATAAGGCACAGATGCACCCAGGTCCTAAGAATGTCATACTAAGAATAAATTGGTCTCTATTCTGTGGTATCTTATCCTATCATAAAAACTCTAAAGCGTTTATTGGAGGACATTTGATGGCTATTATCTCTATTGCTGAAGACAATCTCTCTGCAAGTATAAGTCTTACTGACTGATGAAGTCGTATTTACTGTAACAAATTGTGCCAACTGTGTAGAAATTGATAAACTTGAATAATGTAAATTACTGAATACAACAGGTAGCTGTGTTCCATAAAGTGTAAGATTTTTCTGCAAACTGGAGAAATTTGCATGCATATAATCAAATATGAAAATAGGTAACATTATTATAGGTAAATCCAAATCAGAACGTATGCGCTTCAACAATTACTTAATGCTCCCAATCAATACTTTATGGCATTAAAAATTGATACATCTAATTGCTTTAACACTAGGTATATTGCTCCTCTTCCACAATTTCTGTGTTCACCACAGATTTAATTGATGATAGGCTTGGCATTTGTGACACCCATTTCCCCTTTCCTTTCTCCTTCCCACACTTCTCTCCCCACCCATCCCAATTTTCACAGATCCCCGCTAGCCATGACAGTGCCCTCTAAGAATAATATTAAGTTATTGGTCCATACAGTAGCTCTAAGAGTGCTGCTACCTAGATCTTTGGTACACAATGTTTACCTAAATATGCATCTTGTCCAACTGAGCGTTACATAGTAATTTTACATATGTGATGTGTTTTGTTCTACTGTTCAATGGATTTTTTTTATCTCATGTGTTATATAAAACCTAATAAACAAATATAGAAAATGTTCTTGCTCAGGTTCTTAGTAATTTTGGAAATCTGCTACTTTTAATCTTCAGTGGTTGTTTTGGTCAAGGGAGTTATAAAAGATCATGCAAGTGCCCATCTCTATGCAGTTGCCCAGCCATTTCTACCTGACTAATCATAGGAAGGGATTGGGTAAATAAAAAAAAAAGATCTGTGTGCATACCATATACTATTAAAAGTGATAAAGTTAAAGGTTATGACTTATCATAGAAAGTTTATACTGTATAACTTAACTGCAGAACTGTGATTAATACACAAGATCACGTACACAGCTGTAATGTCAGCAGCCTTTAACACTCAATTGGTAGTCCTTTTTCCTTAGAGACTCTGAGCATGTCTCCTGTTCCAATCAGTTCATTAAGACTTATTAGGAAAAATATTAGCCTGTGCTTCAGTTTCTCCCATACTGGGATGGGGCCCATTTTTTAAATTACCAGTATGTTCTCTGGGAAAGTGCACCGTTTATGGGGGAACATAAGTGAAACACGTAAGGTATTGCTTTCAAAGCAAGGGTTGTCAAATTTTTAGTCTTATTCAGCTGCTCCGATTTCTGCTAAGCAACGGGCTGCCAAGATACCCTTCGATGAGCACCTGCAAGCCAAGAAACGGTGTCCTTAGGCTTCCTGTTCAAAACCTTAACCTGGTATGGCAGAAGCTTCTAAATGAGGAACGACAGCTTAGGAGAGGGTTATATTTACAACACACAGCGCTATGAGACCACACTTGTTTGCCTGGTTTCTCTCTTTTAATTGAGTCAATTATTTTAAAATTTGCTAATAGATAGCCTTCCATGTGATACTAATCTTGATTTTTTTCAGCTATCCTGAAAATACTTAATTCTTTGAACTAAATGCTTTGCTGGGATGTAATATGAAATATAAGGTGACCAAAGACATGCAGATACTGTAAGTTAGAAAGGCATACATACTTGCATAACACAAAGGGATTATGACTGCTTATTATAAAATGTTATTCAGTTTTGTTGGTATCCACCATTTGTTTTTCCTTTCGGTTTCAGGAAACTCAGGTTTACATGACCCTAATGTATTTTACTTTTGCTATGAGGTGGAGCTTTCTAAGTGTCACAGGTGAGTAGAGCGGTTTGACTTACCTCACTTCTGGAAAGGGGTTTCCTGTCACTCTGCATTCCAGCTTTACTCGGCTCCCCTCTGCCACCTCCTGACTTTTGAGCTTCTGTATAAATCGAGCAGCTGAAGAAGGAGTGTGAGATTTATTGGTCTCACTTTGCACTCGCTCTTTTTCAGGCGGCTTGCTTTCATTCTCAGTTTTCATTAGTGTTTCATCTTTTACACTCCTCAGTTCCATTGTGTTCACCTCTTGCTTTGGTTCAGTTTCACTCTCATTAATTGTGGGGCTAATGAGAATGGTGCTCTCTTTCTTTGGTGACAAATAACCACTGTCAGGAGAAGAAGAATCTCCATTAGGGCGCCTGTCTCTTGCCTTGTTTGTCTCTCGAAATATTGCAGAGAGTTCTTCAATAAAAGTAGCTGCCTTCTGAGCGATGTCACTCTGAGAGTTTAGATCCTTGTTAAGTGGTTTGTTTCTGGCTTTTGGAATCGGAAGTGTGGATGAGCCACTTTTCCCTTGAAGTTTAGAAGCTTTGTGTGCCTGCAAGGTTCGGATTATACTTGGGCTAGTGGTTAGAAATGGTGAAATCATGCCTTTCATATTTGAACCACCAGGTTTAGTGGAAGCACCAGCCCTACCCAGCTTATTTATCAAATTTTCCCTTTTTCTGGATTTTTCTGATGTTGCATTGCTTAGTTTTAACTCCTTGTACGATCTGTCAGGTGGGTTATCATGAGAAGATTTTAAAGCATGACTGTGGCTTTGATCCTCAGACAGAGGGCTCGAAAATGCTTCCCGCGCAATGTCAAGACTCTTGTTCATTTCCTCCTGACTGAGGAAGGCAGAAAGTTCTTGGAAGTTTCCATCAATGGAGTCACCATGGAAATCTGACAGAGTATCATAGAAGGAATCATGGGAGGAAGCTTCAGACATACTTTCAGACATAGAGTTTTGTTTTTTTCTCTCCTTAACATAGATATCCTTCGTTAAAAGAGACAAGGGCAGAGCATGATCCAGAGCTCTGTTTGCCATCCTAGGAAGTAACCCTGAATCAAAAAGAAGTAAAGACATTTACAATATGGCTCTCTTGTCAACATAACAACTTCCCTGTAAGTTTCAGCTCCAGAATAAGAAACACCTTAGACTATTATACTTTGCATAACACATCATAGAAAACACCTCAAAAATAGTCTAAAATATATTTTAAAAGAAACAATAAAAATGTAATTAAAAATAAACATACTGCAATAGTATTAAACTTTAATATTTATACATCTGTAATAATATAGCACTAAAACCACATTCTAATCTTATTATATGAATGTTATTTAATACAATAATATACATAACAGGATATCACTTCCTAAATCAATCATAACGAGATATTAGCAGTCTCTTATATGAGTCATGTTACAAATGTATAGATATTTCTGATCTTTAAAGTCAGTTCTTCATTTTCCATATTTATCAATTTATTTTATCTATCACTTATTTACAATACCATTATGTAGAATAATAAGGCAAAGTTTTCATATGATCAATTTTTTACATTTATTAATAAAATGTTTTTTTTTTTCAAAAGAAAATAACTATGTGTTTATATTCAAACACTATATGATTTAACTTGTAATAATACAAAACAATTATATAGATATAAAAGTCATTCAATATTTTCAGCATGTATTTGGAAATAAGGAAATAGTGCTCACCGATAAATCCTGTTCGAGTTGAGTTAAGACACTTATTTAGAAGAAAGAGGTGTACAGCTATACATTAAGTATTGCTTTGTCCCCACAGCACTCATGAGGTGAATGTGGCCTGGAACTAGCATCTGTTCCCACAGGACCATGTCATTCTTCCTCCAGTCAACTATATTTGGTAACTGATCTCATGTTTCAGTGAACTGCTATCTGGAATTCCAAGAGAAAGGCTGTTGGGCCTTGCTGAAATAACCTCACCGACACTTGCCTCTCAGATATCGGAGGGACTCTGTGTTACATTTTATTATCTGCGCAGCTCTTTTAGTATTACTAGTCATAAGGAAAACATTAAGCTATTAAAAGTCCTTCAAAGATATATAAATGTCAAAGCATTAAAAGACATTCGAACAAAAACTTGCAATAACCTACAGAGGTTTGTGGGAAATCCATTAATGGGATGCCAGCTCTTGTTAAATTATATCTGAACCTGATTTGTTTTTCATTTTACAACCCCTGTCAGTTATGAAGAAATAAACCCTCCTGTAACAATTGTTACAGTAACAAGTGTCTCCATTGGAAGATTTCCTGTTTAACATTGTGGAATTCTCCTTGGCTTCTGTCACGGGTCACCAGGATAAATAGAAAGAGTAAATCTCCTTATTGGGGACACAGGCAGAAATAAAAATCCAAGGCTAAAACATAAATGTTTTGGCTATAGATCCCCTCTAACTTCTACTTTATAGTAGCTGTACATGTTTGTATTGTTTTTGGGTTTTACTCTGCTCTACTCTACTTTACTTTTACATTTAAGGGTGCTTTCAGAGCATGGTAATTGTGGGAATGTGTACAGCACCTACAATCACAAAATATATTGATTGTATCAAGAGTTACCCATAGCAAGCTCATCAAAAACACAATGCAAATTCAGTCTTATCATCAGTGTACATGTTGACGTTGTTGGATAATTTAAGTCTTTAGCCAGTTTACCAAAGATTGTAGAGTGTTAGACAATGTATAACTGAAATAAAGTGTATATAAACTCAAAACAAAAAGTTTAATGTATATAAGCTTAAAAGGGAACTCCAGGAATCGTGAAAACTAACCCTTGCAGTAGGGTAGCCCTGCACTGCAAGGGTTAACTGCTTGTTTTGGTCAAGGGGCTGCAATGCAAAAAATATACTCACCTTATCCTCAGTCCCGTTTGACTGCTAGACCGGTCCTTGCAGCCTCCTCGCCCCCACGTTGAGGACCTGTGATGTCATCTGCATTATAAGGGAGGACGCCGAAGTAGATTGCACCGCCAGAGCAGATAGGGAGAGAGGTGAGAACTGAGTTCCACATGACCGAGGATCAGGTGCTTATATCTTCTGTATTCCGGCTCATAGACCTAAACAAGAGCTTAACCCTTGCAGTGGAGTGTTAGCTCCACTGCAAGGGTAAGTTGTTACTGTTCCTGGAGTTCCTCTGTAAATATTTCTCTATTTCAGGTATTTTCCCATAATATTCATCTGGTAGTCCTGCAATTAGCACACCCCCTTTGCATTTGTGTCTACACTTTTTCCCCCCACTGTATCTATAGAGGGAGCCATAGTAGTCACACAGGCTGGACTTCAATCTTGCTTACCTTTGTACTTCCCCATTAAATGGTGGATTGATGGGACTAGTGGTTTACACTAAAAAAGACAAGATTGTTTTTGCTGTCTTTTCAGCTCACAGAAAGTGACAAGGATATTGCATTTGTGGCAAGATCAACAGGTATTTTTTTGTACTGGCTGACTAGACTGCAAAACACAAACAAATGCACTCACCGCATCTAAGGACTGGTAAGCTGTAATATATGATTTTTGGGTTGGGTATAAACGGTTAGAATTTCAAATGAACTGAATCGATTTCAGAATATCCGTTTGACTTTCTAATCATTGATGCAGTGAATTAGATGATTGATTTGGGCCAAAGTGATGAAAAAATTTGAAGCATGTTGGAAAATTTTCCCCAATGGGAAATGTATTTTAGTTGCATTTACTATGTGGGCTCCAATTACAACAGTTGCATTCTGCATTTAAAATGGAACTCCCCCACATGGATCATTTTATTTTGGCCCACAGACAGTTGTTTGGTGCTCATATCACATTTTATCACGTGACACTTTCTACATGACAATATTTTCCTCATTGGTACCACTGTGATGGTAGTTATCTCTGCAACAGTACACATCTCTCGGTTGCCTTTTCATTTTAAATTGCTGCATTTTAATTTGTCTGGTTTGCTGTGACAGCACTCCCACCAGCCTGTCTTCTCCTCCACTGGCAGCGATGGTATGTCCCTTGTGTCTTCACCTCCTATACACAGTGCACTGAATGTGATGACCTACAGACCTTAGACTGCTGCAGGAGAAGAGAAGAGATACTCCAGGGACTGACCTAAGAGCAAGACGGACCTTAGACTGCTGCAGTGGAAGGGGAGGGAGGCTCCAGGGAGCAGTCTAAGAGCAAGCTGGCTCCAAGGATTATTATTATTATTATACAGGATTCATATAGTGCCAACAGTTTGTGCAGCGCTTTACAATATAAGGAAGACATTACAATCACAATACAATTCAAGACAAGATGGTAAGGAGGGCCCTGACCGTGTAGGCTTACAATCTCAGGTGAGTATAATGTTATTTTCCTCCCTAGACCAAAAAAAGCACTTAACCCTTGCAAATTTTTACCTGTAGTTATTCTGTAAGCCACCTGACCTTAAAGATAATTGTAGAGCTCACCGATTTTTACAATGACTACCTTTAACTTGATGTGTTTCTATTAGCTTGCCTTGCAGATGTCTCACATAGAAAAATAATCACGTTTACGTGTTTTGTAAACAAGTTGAGAACGGTCATGTGACATCTATAGAGATTTCCTGTTTCTGATTTTGAGACTCTTTTTAGACTTTCCATGCAAAGCATGGCAAATGGCAGTCCATGGGTAACCTAAACTATATGTATACACATAGATATCTATTTATTTTAAGTAATAAAAACAGCAATTGGATTTGTTTAGCTGTTTTTTTTTAAACAAAGAAACCTGTGGATATAGATATACTAGTAAGAAAAGCATGTATATCTTCAGACATTTGTGTTAGCTTTGTAAAAATGGCAAATGACAGCACACAGGGTTTCACAGCTGCACACACTTAGCCAAGGCAGGCACTCAACTAAGTCTTAAAATAGCCTGGGACACCGTTCAGAAATAACTTTACATCCTACTAAATGTCCCCTGTGTGGCACTGGGTCCTGTAAACCTTGTCTCCAAGTCCTATCCTAAGTCAAGTTTCCTTGGGGGGGAGGGGGGAGAGAGAGAGAGAGAATGGGCCTCCCTAATAACACGTGATTTGTACTTCTTGAAGTAGTTAAAGTAGTATTAAACTCTCAAGATTTTTTACAATAATGAATCCAGATCAAACAAATGTACACTATCGGTAAAAAGTTTTAGAACACCCCCATTTTTCCAGTTTTGATTGAAATGTAAGCAGTTCAAGTCAAGGGAATAACCTGAAAAGGTACAAAGGTAAGCGGTAAACTGCCACTGTTGCACAGCCACCCGCAGCATGTACGGGCGGCTGTGCAAAAGGGCTGGAGAGGCTGTCACTGATCCCGGAGAATGAGCTGGACCCGCCTCTTAGGGGTGGAGCTAAGAGGGACGTCTCCTCTTAGCTCTGCCCCCTGGCCGCTGAGACGAGGAAGAGGGCCATGGGCCTGCACCCAGGCGGTTGGGGGGGGGGACCTTCATGGTTTCTTGCACCGGGGCCCTGAAGGTTATAGTTACGCCTCTGGAAGGCAGACAGACAGACCATTAAAACCCTTAAAAGTGTAGGTCTTTCCTTTAAAGAAATTGCAAAGAAAGCCAAGGTGTCAATGAGTACAGTTTCCTACACCATCAAAAGGCACTTGGGAACTGGAGGAAACTCTCACCTTAAGAGGTCTAGCAGACCCAAAGCCATAACAGAGCTCTCAGCAAGTTTCTGAGAGTCAACAGCTTGCGTAGCAAGCGGCATACAAGGCAACAGCAAAAGCTTCACACTGATCAAAGTAAGCAAGTGTCAGCTTCAACTAGAGAAGACTTCGAGCTGCAGGTTTAACAGGTCAAGTGGCAGTAAGAAAGCCATTGCTAAGACGGCAAAATAAGAAAAAAAGGCTTGTCTGGGCCATGAAGCACCGACAGTGGACTACTGAAGTCTGGAAGAAGGTCTTATGGAGCGATTAATCAAAAT